GAACATCATCATGGTTTGCAGCAGATGCTATTGGACATCTTCATTGGGTTTTTTTGTTTTTGTTGACAACAATATTAAATGCTTTGCCATAATTTTCTTTTGACTCCACAGTCTAGGCTGCTGCTCTAGGATTTCCAGTCAGCTTTTTGGGCAGGAGATGCTGTCACCTAGGTGGACAGCAACGGTAACGGCTGATTTATGGAAGCTGATGGAATCTTAGGCGATCTTACATTATCTTTTTCCCCTCCTGACATTGGAAAGTGAGCTGACCAAATATATTACCCCCGAGATTTCATGGCACCTGTCCTTCTGTTCCTTATATCCTCTATGATCTTTCCCCAACAACATCTCCCTTCAGACCTTCGACTCCCAACCTTTCCGGTGTCCGCTTCCTTTTCCTGCGGCGGATAGAGTCTGTCCAAACTGTATTCACTTCGGAATTCAGAACCGAAGGCCGGACGACCAGAAGCCAAACCTCGAAGCAGAATTTTCCTAGATGTCTCCCAGAAGAGCAGCCGCTGAACCGGCATTCGCCTCAAGCAACACAGCACGTGCACCACCATCTTGAGATGTGCCGATCACTTCTGTAACGAGTCCGGCTGAAATCGGCTTCCTGCCACCGGCGTTCCGCGAAAATATTGTTCCGCCGGTAGGAATGTTCTGACCAACGAAAACACGACGAGTTTTGCTTACATATGTATCAATATTACTTATTTGCTTATATATATTTAAGTATTACACTGTTTTCGCTCAGAACCATAAGATGCTCGGCCCTGGTAGAAATGATTAAGAAGGGGACTACATTTTTGTGCTTTTAAATTCCTAATAATGTTTACGCGTAAGCGTAATTCTTAGTAAAACCGCAGAGGACTGAGCTGCAAATTACATTAACATAAGAGACTGAATATAGATCGGATTTCAGATGCCAGGGATTAAGGTTACAATCCCAAAAAGATTTACAAGGGAGCAAGCCCCACTGAACATAAAAATACCATTAATTAACGAGCCAGGGTACACTTCTAATTTATTATATTTGTGTTTCACAGAGTTGGCTGAAAAACCATAGCATCTATTTATAAGAACTTTCTTATAAAATACTTCCATTATGGAGAAATGAATATTTGTGTTTTAAAAGAAAATTTAACTCTTTTAGGAATTATTTCAAATTTCCTTTTAAAAATAGTTTTCATTTCTGCATAATAGATTTTTTTTATAAGAAAGTTCTTATAAATAGATAATAGATAGCAAATTCAGAACATAGATACATTCTTGTACAAATGAAATCTGATTATTTTAATAAACTATTAGGTATGCAGTAACAGAACAAAAATCAAACTTTTAAAACTTAAAGTCAATCCTTTGCTGTAAAGCCAGTTTGCTGTAAACCACTATGTTTTAGTGCATCAGTAGCTAGGATTGCTTGGAACTTCTATTAGAAGGGACTTCATGGACCGTACTTGACTAATTAATATAGGATATCTTGTTTTTAATAATATCTATCTCTGTAGCAGTTTGGGGGGAAAAAGGCTACAACTCAACATTCTCTCGTGGCCTTTACATTTCATGACAATCAAGCATACCGTATGTTCGCTGCAAAACTCCTGGGAACTATTATATGGCAGCAAAAGAGCTGAGTTTCCTGTAACTCTTCATTGCTGTCCAACCTAGATATGGTATGGCTAAACTAGCATTACATAAGACTGATGTCCTAGTCACCTCCTGTTTAGATTATTGCAATGCCCTCTATGTGGGGCTGCACTTGAAGAGCACTTGGAAGCTGCAGCTGGTCAAGAATGAAGTGGTGCGGACAGTTTGGGACATTTCTCTTTACATTCACATAATATCACTGCTCTATAAATATCACTGCACCGGCTTCCGCTGCACAAGAGGAAGGGAGGCAAGATGGCTGCCTGGGAGCTCTGCCACCACAGGCCTTGTGAAGAAGAGGCTGAATAAAGAGCCAAAGCCCAGGAGTCAAATAAAGAGGCAAACTAAAAGATAGACAGCCATGATGAGAAAAGGCAACTGGAAGAGGCAGCAGCTGAGAAAACTGCGGAGAGAGGGGCATTTTTTTCCTTCCCTTGGAACTGGCGTAAAAGTTCTTCTAGCCGTTTCCCTCAGAGGGAGCAAAGATTCAGAAGAGGAGAAGAACTAAGAAGCTCGGCCAATACAAACAAGCAGAAAAGATGAAGAAAAAGTCAAGATTTTGACAGAACAGAAATAGAAACAGAAACTAAAAAAAGATTGAACTCGAGAAAAAGGAGTATAGCTCTATAGAGAGTGACATTAGAGATATACATAGATTAAGAAACAAATACAAAAGTTAGCAATAAACAAATATATGAGGATAGAGTGAAATGGGACTTTAAAGAATGTAGTGTAGATAAAAAGCTTCTGGAAAGTACAGTTAAATTAGAAAATAGTTTTATTATTAAGATTCATTTCTGAACTAATTGAAGGCATTTATAACTTACAATTCCTTTTTCTTTTTAAGTTTTCCTTTTGTAAAATAAAAGTATATCCATTAAAGGGAGATACAAAAACCCAACCAAGTTTCCAGTGCTTTGTGTTTATTAAGTCTGTTTGAATGTGGTTATCGGTACAGTAGTCCAAAAAGAATCAACAACATATCAGAGTAATTCTGTTTCAGTAGCCTATATGGGCAGCTTAGGGTGTCTCACTGTAATTTGGGAACAAGTTACATCTGTAAAGCAAGTGAGAGATCTAGCATAATGTTATTGACTCTGCTTGTGTCTTTCAGGAGAAACTTGGTTCAGGATTAATAAACTGAATATCAAACAACCACATAGAGTGATTCCAGACTGACAAACATCATATTTAAAGTTAAAGCTTCCTGGGAAGTGACATATGGGTGGGTCCAGCCAATGGTGAATTCATCCTTGAGGGAAGGGGTGTTTTCAGCTGCCTTTAAGGAGGTGCTGGTGCACTCTCTCCTCAAGAAGCCATCACTGGATCCCACCATACTGGACAATTTTCATCCGGTCTTCCATCTCCCCTTTTTAGGGAAGATGGTTGAGAAGGTGGTGGTACTGCAGCTCCAGAGGATCCTGGAGGAAACAGATTATCTGGACCCTTTTCAGTCAGGTTTCAGGCCTGGATATGGGAGGAAACAGCATTGGTCACACTCATGGATGATCTCTGGCGGGAGCGGGATGGGGGAAATGCATCCATCCTTATTCTTCTTGACCTCTCAGTGGCTTTCAATACCATTGACCATGGTATCCTTTTGGGTTTACTTGGGGAATTGGGAGTGGGAGGCACAGTTTTGCATTGGTTCTCTTCCTTCCTCCAAGGTCGATCCCAATCAGTGTTGATTGGGGGCGAGAGGTCCAGCTTGCAGCCCCTTCTCTGTGGGGTGTCCCAGGGTTCAGTACTCTCTCTGCTCCTTTTTAACATATACATGAAACCACTGGGTGAGATCACCTGTCACCATGGGATGAGGTATCATCAATATGCTGATGATACCCAGTTATACATCTTCATCCTGGGTGAGGTGAGTGATGCCGTGACCACCCTTTTGTAGTGCCTGAAGGCTGTGGGGGTCTGGATGGGGTGCAACAGGCTTCAGCTGAACCCTGGCAAGATGGAGTGGCTATGGATTGGAGGCCCCTCTGTATCCAAGGATTTACCATCTTTGGTTTTGGACAGGGTTGCATTGCCCTGGACGGACCCAGTGAGTAATCTGGGGGTCCTCCTCGACTCATGACTCCTGCTCAAGGAGCAGATGGCAGTTGTGGCCAGGAGAGCCTTTGCCCACCTTCATGTGATACACCAGTTACACCCTTTCCTGTATCAGGAGGCTCTCCTGTCAGTCACTCATGCCCTGGTCATCTCTCGGCTAGACTATGCAATGCGCTCTACATGGGGCTACATTTGAAGAGTATCCGGAAGCTACAGCCGGTCCAAAATGCGGCCGCGTGGATAATTTTGAGTGCCCCAAGAACGGCGCATATAACACCTTTACTACGCGAGCTCCATTGGGTCCCAGTCTGCTTCTGGGTCCAACTCAAAGTGTTGGTTATTACCTTTAAAGTCCTACATGGCATGGGTCCAGGTTACCTGAGGGACCGTCTTACCCGCATCACATCAACCCGTCCCACCTGGTCAGGCAGAGGGCATGTTGTGGGTCCCATCAGCGAGAGAATGTCGACTGGCAGGGTCCAGGAGGAGAGCCTTCTCTGCTGTTGCTCCCACCCTTTGGAACATTCTCCCCCAGAGGTGCGGCAGGCCCCCACCCTCCCGGCCTTCTGGAAAAAATTGAAGACCTGGCTCTGCCAGCTTGCGTGGGGTGACAGGAATCTTACCCAATCCTGGGGATGGCTAACGCCTCAATAATGCTCCCTGAGTGATTGCCAATTATTTTGGATCTTTTTATTTTTTATTATTGCAATTTTGTAATTTTAATTGATTTTAATTGCTTCGTAAACCATCCAGTGTCGTTTAACAAGATGGGCGGTGACAAATTCAATAAATAAATAAATAAATAAATAGAAGCAGAAAATATAGTTCACGTGTGTGTTTGTGTGTGTGTATTTCATTCAGTAGTTTCACTGGTGTCAGTATTCTTTTTGGTCAAAGACATGATACTACTATCAATATTTTGCTGATCTGACGCTATGCTGCAGCTGTTCCTTTGTTAAACTGTGTGGGTATTTTGCTGCTTACGTGAATAATTACTGAGCCGCTTTAAAATAAATCAGAACTGATATTTGAAAAGAGATTAAAAATAAGTATTTCAAACCTCTGAAGCATTCAGAATGTCTACAATCATAGAGGGTGCTTTTTTTTGTTGTCCTACAGCTGGAGGAAATATCTATGAAAACAGCAGGAGTACTGTTTTCTGCTGTGTTTCCTCCACTTTATTTTATACCTAAAGCATTTTCATGGTCTAAATCATGGTACAAGTTCAAAGGCAGCAAGCCTATTTCTGAAATATTAACAAATATGTACAGAAAATTTCAACATTCATAGTACTGGTATATCTTTTTTATTTAAGAAGAGAATAAAGCATTTTCAAATATATTAATTTTAAGTATGCTACACAAACAGACGCTGGTTTGCACATTAACAGTTTTCAAAACCAAGATTGCAATGGCCCCTTCCCACCCAAAATACTGATGCGACGAAGAGATTACTTTTTAGAACAAATATCAATTCAGAAGTCCCTTAGTAAAAAGGTAGTAAAATTAAACAAAATGCCACAGCTATGATGGCAACAGACAGATCAACATAAATGTTTTGAGAGAACCAACCTCCTTTGTTATTTTTACAGATTACTGATTTTTTACCATAAGGCATGAAGGTTTGCTATATGGTTACCAGAGTGGTAGCCACAGTCATGGGTATGGCTCATGTTTGGACCACATCCAGGGTACAGAAGAGGTTTGGGCATTTAGTAAAGGAAGAACCAATTCAAAAGAACAGCCCCTGGACAGGCTAACTCAAAAGTACTTCCACATATTTCAAAAGTGACCTCACTTGGCTAAGCACAAGGACTCAGAAAGTTTTCCACGGCAAGAATATTGCAAATGCGTAATGAAATGACAATCTGGTGACACAGGAATGAAGATGCTCACTCTCTTTGACTTCACAGTTGACTTCCCACACAATCACCTTCTTTAACTTCTATTTATTGTGATCATGAAATTGGATATAAAAACTAGACATGATGAAATGCAGAAGCATAACAAGAGGCAGATATAATGATTAGAAAGATCTGTGAGCCTCCAACTCCTTGATGAAACTTGGTAATGTTGATCACTGTAAAGAATATGGTCTGAGGATCATGATAAGAAAAATCCCACAACAGCATTTAAAGATGAAAGAACAAGAAGGTAATATGCTGAACATAATAGATTGAAATCTCATTTTATGTTATTGTAATTCCAAAGAAACAACAAAGACTTTGGATTTTATTCAGATATATCCAAAAGGATCCAACATTTCTTCAAGTATAATACTGCTTGCTAAGTCAATAATCTTATGTATGTGTGCCCTAAACATTAATGAAATATAATACTGGTAAGCAACATATGTGCAGGGGTTCCTATTGTTTATTATGATGTATCTAAAATAGCCCAATATTTAATTTCAATGAAATGGATAGTGATGATTCCTGAGACTGGAGAGAGAAAGCTTTGTGTATAAATATGTGATGCGTGAGTCACTCCTGTTCAGGTTTTGCAAGGCATGCAAATTATATCTTAGGAGCAGGCCAGAGAAGACAATAAGGGTAACCATTTGAGCAACAAGGCTTGGAAAACCAACACCTAACTAAAGATGGAGCTCTCTCTCCAAGTCAGTAATAGCACTTATTTGTTTGGCTTCTGGAAAATCCCAGAATGAGTGATGACAACTTACTGAAATAAATACTGGAGGAAATATACATCCTATGCTTTCTTTGTTCTACATGTTGGATGATCAGAACAATTAAGTATGCCTGATGAAGACATTACAGTAATCAATCTGACATTTCTCTTCAAGTTTTTCCAGTTGCAATGAACTTGCATTGTAAATATTGAAAAATTTGACCAATAAAATAATGGCTTAAACAGGAAGAACATATTCCCCTTCAGAGAAAGGAGCTGTCCATTTAAAAGTCTCACTGATGTGCTATATGAGTTCTTCATGGAAAGAAATAAAATGGAAATACAGTAAAGGAGAAAGGTTGCATGTTCAGGAGTTGCTTTTGGAAACTAATTTTTTTTAAATTATATTTTAGACACTCCAGGTCATAGTAAGGAATCTAAGCCTGATCCTATGTTCCATGCAGAAAAGTGAACGGTGGCTGTGGCAACAGGTGAAGCTGTGGTTAGTTGGCCTGATTTCCTGTTTAGGCATTCTGGTTGCTGCATGATGTGAAAAAATCTTCATAAAATCTTAGATGCCAAGTACAACATATAGCTTTTGCAGCAGATTCAGAGGACCAGACAGCTTGGAGTACCAACTTAAAGAATGTGACTTGGGTTCTTGCTGCTTTTGAAGCACTCCAACAGGCTCCCTTTCTGTGCAAGCTATCAATGTAAGAAGCTTCCAGAGCACAAAGGCAGGAGGCCAAGCAATTTTTCCTGGGGCTAAAAAGAAGAGTATGAGGCTGAAGGTGCAGGCAAAGAGGGAAGATTCACTTGCTGGTCTTCTTTTTCACCTTGGTGGCATTGATGTCTGCTTTTGTCTTCTGGATTCGAGAGAAGATCTCCTTAAACAGAGCTTTATATTCTGGCTGACTCTGCTCTAGCCTCTTGTCTACAGCTTCCACATGTTTGCTAAGGCTCTTCTCCATTGTTTTGAGCTCTTCCAGCTCATAACCTTCCCCTCGGAAGTCTCTAAAGGAGCTGTCACGGGAGATGGGGCGAGAGGTTTGGACACCAGCATGGCGTACACTGTCCTTATGTTGACGGCACTTGCTGAGAAGCTCCTCATACTTTTCCAGCAGGGCGTGGTATTGCTCATCCACCTCCCTCAGGATTGACATTCCCCTCTTACGTACATTGTTGGCATGGAGTGTATAGTTGCCTTCATGGCGGCTCACAGCATCCTTGGTTACAATGGCATTGAGGGCTGTGTCGCTACAGCTTTTCCGGACAGGATGGTTTGGAGAAGCTGCCATGGAGGTTTCATGGTTTTTCCCTCCATCTTCCTCAGAAAGGTCAATGTAGTCAGCTTCAGGGGCATTGTTTAATGGCTCCAGAAGTGCTTCTGACAGGTTGTCCTCTCTACTGAGGAGATACTTCTTGACTTGCTTCATCTGCTGGAGTTCCAATAATTCAGTTTCCAATTCTTTAATGCGCAGTTTGCAGCTTTCCATCTCACACACTCGCTGCTCAAGATCAGAGTACTCCTGGATGACTGATGTGTACTCTCTCTCTACCCTCTCCTTTCGTTGCTTCTCCTGATTAACTTGGGACCGGAGAGAATTTACCATCGCTTGCAGTCGTTCATTCTCTCGTTCCAAAGGCATCTGGCTGAACTCCACTGAAGAGCTGTGGATCTGGAATGCATCCTCATATCTAATATAAAAAAGATAATATGGTTAGCAAATTAACACAGGATTCCATGCGTAGGTAGCGTTATCATTCTAGTGAAATGGGTGGGTGGGATACTTCTGGATAGCCACATAAGATAATTTTGTTGGGCTTAAGGACAGGCACATTTCATACCTCACTGGAAGAGGTACCTACCCGCAAACCTGAACTGCTTCTTTTCTATATGTAGTTATACATTTTTCACAAGGGAAATTCAAATATGTAATCTCACCAACACTCAAAATTTTGATTATCATATATTTCAGATTCAAAAAGTAAATCCATATACAGAGGCTGTTTCTTTCCTATACTGAAATGTCCCTAAATGGGTGCTGGAAGTCAAGTACTGTTCTATATAGGGGATGTGAAGGGAAAATTGACAGCATGTAGATGAACCATTTGACCTAAAGAAATACAATGTGCATCTGTGCTATAAACTGTTCCTAATCCCCCCTGCTCAATTACAAATCAAGCTTAACTGGGGGAAACAGAAATTAGGGGACCAACAAAGCCAATATTCTGAGGAAATGAAGTGGTCACTCAGTCCGCCAGCCTGTTTTTTGGGGGGGGAAGGGTATGGGAGTTAATATGCTTTCTGAAGCCATCTGAATGAGCCCTGACAGCTGCTGATGTATAAAATCTTATGTCTGTCCTATTCAGACACCAGTTTTAACTTGCACAGGAGAGCGAAAGGCTACACAACTGGCTCTACAAAATTACACCTTTCTTCCAGTGGGCTGCCTAGAGTCCCTAGTCTTAAAACAGGAGACTTCTGTTATACTCTTAAATGATTGAGACACTGTACTTCTCAATACAGTGCACTTCTGTAGTAACAAGAGCAACTATTTCATTGCTACTATAATAGCACTAAATTGATCCACACTGGCATACTAAAAAGAAGAGGGAGAAGAACCTGCTTATTCAATCTTTCCCATAAGATTCATACCACTTGGGCTCTTATTGAGCAATTCATGAAATTTCAGACCAGGAGTCCAGATTTTATTTATTTGTTAAATTTATATTTGCCTTTTCTGCAGGAGCTCAAGGTAGCTTACACAAGGATTTCTCTTAATTTTACCCCCTCAACCAACATCGGTGGGATAGGTAGGTTTAAGAGAGAGTGAGGGATTGGCCCAAATTGATCTGGGGAGTTTCCATGGCTAAAGGTGGACTTGAATGTGGGTCTCCTTGGTCCTAGTCCAACAACTTCAGTATTATACCATTGAGATCATCCTCCATCTATAGCTTTGCCCTCTTTTTCCTCAATAATTCTGGTAGCGTTTTTAATGAGCAGAAGACAGAATAGTGCACTATGCCTTTTGACTGAGAACCCAATGCATGGAAGCACTGAGTTTTAATTTTGAACCAGGATTCAATTAATACCAGGTAATGTTTTACTTAATTCCTAAAGGAAATTAATATACTACCCTTTGTAACAGGTTACAGGAGTATATACATAGATGTGAACTTGCTTTTCCTTTATATGGTGCCATCTCTATAAATGATGATGTTCACTTTAGAGTATACATTTCAACATTGTTGAAAAAGACAAGGAGAAAGGAGTTAAGTAGGAAGGAATGACTTAAGCTTAGTTCCATAAGGAAATGGATAGAGACTAAGCCATAGAGTAAATAGAAAATGTGGATTTTCAAAAGGAATTTGAAGAACAATTATTTCAATCATCAATAATAACCAAAAGGACACTATGTCCCTTGTGTGTTGTGGACACTGTGCAATATTTAACTGCACCATTTACATTAAACACACAGATCTAACACAGCAATTCTGGCAATGCTCCTTGAACCTTGTTCTGATTTTCTGGTGTGCTGTCCAAACCCCAAAAAACCTGCTACACTGATTTGACAATAGACAATGGAGAGACACAAAAGAAATATGTATAACCATGGGGACTGGTGAACTCATCTCTGAAATTTTGTCTTCAGGTGCTTTTGAAGCTGTCCAGAGTTAGTGGGAGGATGGTTATAAAACAAGTACTGAGAAAATCATCTCTGGCTTAACTCGTTCAGCATATATTCTTCCCTGACTCCTAATAAACAGCCTGTGGCACAGTCATTAATTAAAACAGCTTGTGGGTAGGAAAGGGGTGAGCAATACCAGACTCCCCATGTCTCATTCATATCTAGAATTCTTGAGTGAAAGAGGGCAATGAAATCCCCCTAAATTGTTATAAATCAATATCTATAATAATTCAAATGCAAATTTTATAATCTTATATATAGTCTAAAGATGCTTTGGGTAAAGCATATCAAACGTATGATAAGAATATTTTTATATGGATACTTAACAGATTTCGCCTAAAATTATTTTATGACTACAAACAATAGCAATTATGTTTGCCAGATCTCTACAAATTATGTTTGCTGAGTGGCTCATTGACTGTTCAGATTGCTTCTGCCAGAACCTGATGGGACACCAAAGGTGACCGAATTGCAATTGATGTTGACGATGAATAAGATCTCTGACCTTCAGATGGTGATGAAGTAAAGCATACTGAAATGTGTGTCTTCTTATTATTCTATAATTCTATGTCCAGATGGAGGAGTTTCCAAGTGTGAGAGGACCTGAGTCAGTGCTCTATCATGTGGAATACTCAGTACTCAGGCAATGGTGGGGAATGCTCTAAACCCTCACACTGGGGAGAGTAACTTCTTGAAGTGATTGTTTCCATTCATTTGGTACCGCTGGCATCAGATGAAACAATCACTGGAACATAGTGTAGTCTCTTTCAAAACAGTCTCTTCTATTTGTGTAAATTAGGGAGATGTTACATAAACTAATTTAAAAGCCTCTGTTCTTTGTTGCTGCCCCTGCACGTGGCAGGTGTACTTGCTTTCACTTCAAATGCCAACTTAATTGTTTGTTTCAGAGAGGGAACAAACCAAATAAGCCCCAAAGATTTGTGCATCACATCTACCATATATGTGATGATCAGCATTATGTATCTATCTATTCCCCCATATGTAAACACCACCAAGTTTAACGAGGCTTCTTCCCAAATAAGCGAGTTTACTTCTGTAGCCAAAAAGTTCATATGACATTTTATTGCTTTTAAAAAATGTTAAAAATGCCCTCAGAAAAGAGAGGAATTGCTATAGTATAGTTAAGAGCCAATTAACAATATAGAAGAGACTTCTTATATAGAAGAGACTGTTTCTAATGCACAGAATTAATTTCAAATCACAGGAAATAAAATTCTAATATATTTTGCATTGGTCAAAACCCACCCCTTTTCCTGCAGTACTGTGTTCAGTTCTAGGCACCACATTTTAAGATTCAGAGATCCTGGAACAGGCATAGAGAAAGATAATGTGGATAATCAGTGGTCTGTGAAGCGTGACTTGTGAGAAGAGGGGGAAGGAACTAGATATGTTGAGATTTGAGAAGGATAATTGAGAGGGATATGATAGTTCTTTGCAAGCACTCAAGGGGATGTTATACAGAAGTAGGCCAAAGCTTGTTCTCTATCATTCCAGAGTACAAGACACAGAAGTTTTAGATTATAGAAAGACAGAATCCAACTGAATGTGAAAAAAACCTACCTAATGGTAAGAGCAGTTCAACAATGGAAGAAATTGCCAAGAGAAATGGTGAGCTCCCCTTCACTAGATGTATTCAAGTAGAGGCTGGACAGTCATTACTGTTTATTTGGATTCTTGACTGAGCAGAAGGATGGATTCGATGGCCTAAATGTCCCTTCCAACACTTTTATTCTTTATTCTACTTCCAGTACAGCCATCCTTATTTGAAACAGTATCATCACATAAAAAACATTTCCCCAGCTAAAAGAAAGCCATCCAGGTCTTTGTTTGTGCTATATACTGGATTGTAATGTAGGGAGAAGAAAACAGAACTCATCTGAATGCCAGAATTAGTTGATTCAATGTTCTGCTTTATTTTTTCTTCCTGTAAATTTGCAGATCAGTATTAGGAAATGAACTTCAGGTTTACTTTATCTGAAATCGAAGCTCAGCTGCCACAGAGATTGTCTATGTGCAACTCTAGTGAGAACCTCTCACTGGCACTTTTAATCCCACTTTTTAAATATATATATTTACTTGCATCAGTTTTCTGCTACCAGGAGCACTTATAATCTGGGGATTAAAACAGCTTGTCAAATTAAAAAAAGATTTCAATTCATTATTGAACAAGTCTTAAAAAACAAAACAAAACTAGAGTTTTCAGAATAGTGCAGAAAATCCCAAGTGTTGACTCAGTAAAATGACACACTGATTTGCGATGTACCAAATAAAGATTTGAGAACACTGTGAATGGCTACAAAATTGGGAACCAACTATCTCCACAATTATAGCACAAACAGCTGGCAAGGGAAAAGACAGATGTAAAGGTCCATACAAAATAAGATATACTGCTGTGTCATCTGCTTCCTCTATAAATTAATTGATGGGCCAAACAGAAATATTTAACAAAAATGAAGTACTGTTCCCCTTGTCTAAAATACCTGGGACTTGCGCACAGTTCCTTGAGACAAGGAAATGTGTGGATGGTTCGACGCCTTTCTCTTTTTTCTCGGCGGACACGCAGCTGGTCCAAGCTCTGCAGTTCTTCCACTTGTTTCTGTAGCTCGTCAACTTGATTTTGCAATCCCTCAATAGTTTCTGTCAGGCTGTAAATAAATTCAGGATTGATGGAAAAGAAATGAAACAAAAAAGTGAGTGCTAAATTATCTAGACTAAAATACAGATATAGTATGGGGAAATGGTTGTATTATCCATCCACCTCTGCTTTCCTCCAAGCTATAATTATCTGCAGCACCATCCCTGGAGAACATGTGTATGTGCCCTTCAACTAAATTTTTATACTTCAACAACTCTGGCCTATAAATTGCAATTACATTCACAGAGAGGTAAGCCGTATTAGGGCCCATTGACTGTGCTGTCAGCTTTTCTCTGTTTCTTTCCCCCCAATATTAAATTATTGTAATTGTGTATGCTTCTTCCCAAATCTTTAAAGAAATATATATTCAAAGAATAACTGTGTTTCCATCTGCCTATTTGTTCAGAAGTGCTAAATTATCAAAATTGGTATTATGTAATGAACTGAACTGAAGCTTCTCGCATATCCCTTCCCCATCTCAATACATACTCAAACACTTGCTTTGTCCGCCCCACAAATCCTACCCTGGAAATATGAGATGGTATAGAGGACACAGTCAATATTGTGCTCCAGTGGGAATTACATGTCAGCATTTTTCACTTAGAAACACTTTAAAATCACCTTTCAGGAAACAGGATGAACAACAGCACTGGGGCACTGAGAAGCCCAATACAAAGTACAGGGTAAGAGAAGTCACCCATTCACATCTAATACAGTTCTTCCCTTGCAGGGAAGCCAGCTAACTACATTTTTATTTATAACAGGTCCTCTCAAAAGAGAACATGTTTCCTACTTAGTGGCAAATGCTACATTCCATACATTGTTTTCAGGAGGGAATATGGATACAAAACCTCCATTATATTAGTTCTGAAATCAGCAGTTTTTCTCATTTAGAAGTGGCAAAACACAATAACTGTTCTTCTAATCTTTAGTTTGGAAAACAAAATCCCTCACTCAGATCCGAGTAGTCTTTCCACTATCAGGTAACTGCAAACAATGCAACCTCTACCTCATTTTTGACATACCTGAGACAGACATGATATCCCTGGGCCCCACAGTATGATGGGGCTTTTCAAGGTCTTTGTGAGCTGAATAAATTACCTTTTGTTCAGCTGTCACTACAGAGAAAACTGGAAGACAACTGCTCTGGAGCAGCCAATTCTCAAATAGTGGGAACCCCCACCTTATTCTACTTCCCAACTCCTCAGCGGCCCCCCTCTCACTTGAACCCAAGGCATTATGGCACCTTCTCTCTATACCACCCAGCTGTTTGGGGGTGTGGCTGTGCCACTCATCTACACAGTGGACAGAGGGGTCCCCCTCAAAAAAAGCAAATGCAAGGAGGAAATGGCAAGCCCATGGGAAGGGTGCTGATTGACTGCCATTTTTGTACTCCCCTCACTGACTAACTAGCTGGGGCACCAGCCAGCTACATACAAATTCAGGGAGCACAGCAAGACATGCTGCAAAGGTAAGAGGGGTGATGCCTATGTCTGTGTAAAGGTGTTGGTAGATTGATATGCATTTGCTCACTTGGTCTTCAGTAGACTTTTTTTTTAATATTGTTTTATAACTTTATGATTAACTCCGGAGGTGAGATGGGTTCTACTTTCCTGTCTAGGATCATGAATGCAAAATTTGATCATCTGAGGATAGCACAGTGTTACTTCTAAAATCTTAAATCTACCAATCAGACCCACCAGACAAAGCATTACCATTGTATCTTCTGCTGGGATGCCTTGCTCTCTAGCACAAGCTTCTGGTTGGCCAGTTCTAGATCCCGTGCTGTTAAATCCAGCTGTTCATAAACTTTAGCATGCTGTTCGTTCATATGCCGCAACATTTCCAGCTGTTTTGTCAAATACTGGAAAGAAAACAAATGAAGTGCAGCCAAACCAAACTCCTTAAGAATAGCATAATAAAATATTCACTAGAGCCACGTATTCAGATAAATAGGGGAGGCAAATCAATTACAACTTTTTAAATGACTAAAAATGTGCCTCTGATTAATCAGGCATCGGTTTTAGCATAGTCTAGCAATTATAAAAATGAGCAAATGGGATATGCTATCTTAAGAGATTAATATAATCTTTTCTTTCACACAAAAGTAGCATCTGTGGAGAGATGACTTTGGAGAAACTATGTGGTGACAGTTACAAAAGCCTGTTTTAAGCCCAGTAAATGAAGAAAACATTAGAAGGAAACTCAAATTGACTCTGCTTTAACCCTCTGGGGTATAAGAGGGAGGGAAAGGAAAATGCAGTCAGGCTTTAAAGATTCTTGTGCTATAGCCTTTCTCCACAAAACAGAGTTCCAGTATTTCTTGAGTAGTCTGTTTCCTGACCTGTTCTACCTCAAAGGGCTGACCTCAATCTTGAAATCCTCACTGTACTTTCCCTTTTCTTCCCTTCTTCTTACATTTAACTATACAGGTATAATTTAAAAACAGCATTTGTGAACATTCATTCAGATGATCATTCATCTAAGAAATCAAATAAGATACACCGATTTAGTTCCCCTTAACTGACCAGGAAAGCACACGCAGCATGCCTCCTGGAATTCTTTCCACCCTCTTAAAAACTGCTCTACATCATGAGACTATGAAGGAAAAGGGGTTTACAACAAAGCAGTCAGCAGCATTCTGAGATGCTGCCCAACTTCCTCTCCCAGAGAGATACACGACGGACTTTTTTTTCTCTATTACCCCCAAGCCAGGGATGGCCACTTCCAACTCATTTTGTTGGTTTCTCCCACATCAAATTTATTCTGTTGATGGAGAATTATCCGGCAGACAGTGTGTTCTGAGCCCCCTTTCATCAGCGTTTCTTAACCTTAGCAACTTCAAGATGTGTGGATTTCAACTCCTAGTATTCCCATCTTTAAGACAGCACATCTTAAAGTTGCTGAGGTGGAGAAACACCACTTTACGTAATTTCTTTCTAACATTTTGTTGGGTAGAAAAGGAAAAAAAAAAAGAAATACTGGGTTTTTAAAAATATGCTTTTCCTCCCCCCCTCCCAAATGTACATTTTAAAAAACAAAACTGTTATTATAAAGCCATTTTAAATCTACCTTTTAAGCTAGAAAAAGAAAGGAGGGGGGAAGGTGGAGAATTCAGTAAGAAATTTAGTGGAAAATAGCCAAATGGGAGAAAGCAATACAGCTCCATTTCAGGGGCTTTGTTAAAAAGGAACCTGGGACTAGCTCAAAGTGATATTAAAGTTCTGCTCAGGATGAAAGTGTATAAGTTGGGGGTCAGAGTGCTTCCCTGGATAGTGACAAAACACTGTGACATGGAGCTGTTCTACTCTGTTCTTTCAGAGCTTAATCCAGTTTTGTTTCAGCAACTCTCATGTGTGCTTCTCACCCCTCATCAACCCTAACCCTAACCCTAGTCATGCATCTTTGTGGGTACTGCTAACACTGACTGTCCTAAATCAAATCCTACCCAAACACTTACATATATTTTCATAGCAATGCTTAATATGCGCCTGCAGCATAAATGGGTTGAGTTATACATTTGCCTGCCCTTCCCCAACCTCTGCTGCGTGTACCTCTATCTCTTGTACTTGTTCCTCATTGGTGGTGTACATTTGCTGCAGAGAATCTTCCAGCTCTTTGTTGCGCTCCAACAGCGTCTTCCCTAATTCAGCTGCTAAGTGCAAGTCTGAAAAGCAGAAGAAGCAAAATATATGAAGACCTTTTACCCTAAGCAATTTGGAGTGCCATATGCAATGCTGGTAGGGTTAACTTGGGCAAAGTATTTTTAACCCATTTTTTCAAGACCCAAAGCAGCCAATGCCGCTGAAAGCCGTATCAGTCAAACTTCAAAAGTAAACTCAGCAAATGTCTGACATTACATTATTAAAGCAACATCTGCAATTATAATAATTCTTTTAATTCCAAGAATCTTGTGACAGTATTCGATAAAAGCCACATTTTCTTTGTTCCTGACTTTTTGTAGACGGGAGGATTTTTTTTTAAGCTTCTTTTATAATTGAATCATTTCCCTCCAACATGATTTTTTCCTACACATGGTAGAAATATTGTATTACTGTTCCACATACATATTTATGAGTGATTTAAGGTTACTTATGATTTATTTATTTCACAGCTCAGCTGTAGGGCAAATTGTCCTAATTATCTCACCCTGGTGGAAATTAGGAGTCAGCAGTGCTAATTGTATTCGTGGTACCCTAATTTCATATTATAATTCTTAGCTGCTCAGAGAAGATGTCCTGAAGAGTGGCATATAAATTCCATAATAAAAAGAAAAATAACAAGGAGAAGGATATCACTAGAACAGCAGAATCAGCAATGTGTGCCTTATAAGTATGTCTTGCGGCCTCTATAGAAAGATATGTATCATCAGGAAAAGCATTCCAAAAGCCTTCAAGGGAACCGAAATAAGGACCCTACTCTCTGATACAAAGCCATCTGGAATAGGATTATGATCATGGCAATCTGATATTACTTCAGAGCCTCATGAAGAAGAGCTTGAAGATATGAGGGGCCCAGCCTATAATGTAAAGAGTTTTTAAAAAATGAGCTCCTTTGATTTAACCTGGAAACATGTTTACAGTTAATATATTTTTTGTAAGATCCTTCAATATATATATTGAATATGTATGATAAGCAACCAACTATCTGAGACAGCTATAAACTTTTGGCCCATCCCTCTAGAAATTAACTTGCCATTCTTTCATCTTGTGAAGTGGTTGACACATGACTGATTGAAGGCCTTCTCCATGGCCACAGACAAACTATGGTTGTCCCATTCCTAAAGAGATTTATTCAACTTCCTCTCTCATAGTCTTGTTATTTGGTCAAAATGCCCTTGTCCTACTAAGTATTTAACTTGTTAGGCCAAACTTTATGTGAACTAATTGTTTTAAAGGCATTTTACTTGCTTGGACGCCATCATTTATAAGTTATGTTTTTATTTGATGCCTTTATAGTTACTGTTCTACGTTGCCCTGATTGTTATGATCACAGAAACAAATACTGATAACAAGAATAAGAACTTGTGTTGTGTGTTGGTATATAAGTGCAGCCCAGAAATTAAGCTTTGATTTTTTTTCTTATAACTGTCTTATAACTTCCTTGACTGCTTTCAGCAGTGGTTAAATAAACCCAGAATGTCTTGTAGTTTACAAAACACTTGGGGAAGTTGGGTTTATAGTTTTGTACAACAACTGTCTAATTCATTTTGTCCCTTTGTTCCCATCAGCAATTTCACCAAGTCTTCACAGCTGCTTTACTTCTGCTTGATCACCATTTTGTCAATGTATATGGGAGAAGACTGGAGTATTGGTTGTCTCAGGTGGAACATCATGGAGACATTCAAATGCAGCTGCCCATTTAAATGACAGCTCTCTCAGGGCAGTATGGCTATAGGGAAATGTCTTAATTATCCCACCCTGGTGGGAAATGGAAGGGGGTAGTGCTACCACTGAGGTGCTAATTGAATCTGCCTTTTGCTTGGTTGTCTCTGAATTTAACGAGCTATTGGTGCTAGGTAGCTATTATTTGGAATTGGTTGCTATAGTAAATGGAGGAGAAGGGTGCCCCACTTCTTTCCATCTGCCTCATTCCCCACACTTGTAGGGCTCAGGTTTCAGAATTAACATGCCTTTCCTTTAATTGCATTTAGGACATGTATAGGAAGACAAAGATTATACTACAGCCTCCACTAAATCTATTGATAATAACTTTAAAAAGCTGAGGACAGGTATTAAAAAGGAGAAGGTGAATTGTGATAAACATGTCTGACACTGCAGTCAAGAAGTAATGGTGTATTAAAAACAAAAGTAAGCTATCAGCAGGTCAGTTTTGCTGAATTTTCCTTTACAGGCAAAGACTTCTCAGGCACCACCATATAATATCCAAAGTCTGGCTTAGGAGTTTGGTATTCCTGAACTTCTATCTGTTGGTTATTCTCCAGAAATCTGATCTCCAGTTCTGAGCACTACAGCACAGAATGAACTGTTAAGAATCAACTGAATGTTAATTGGAACAATCATGATATGTAAAAGCCCTGGCTGACAACTGTATTCCTTGAATGGGCCATATTAATAGAGGCCATAATTACTGCTAAAAAGACACATACAGTCACCTCCAATTTTCTAAGTGCGCTCAGGAGACTGACAACATAACAAAAATGGATCAGATGGAAAGAGAAACAGTATTAATTAGTTATTATACTCCTACTATATTCCATGACCAAAGTTTCTGGCCAAATTACAAAGTTACCTAAAACACTTGCATTTTCTAACATTAACCCCGTGCCTTGAATTATAATGGCATGCAATAAATAAATTACCCAGGAAATATACATCCAACTATTCCAGCATAGGTTGGGTATTTAAAATTAAACTGATAAAAATGGCCAGAAATCCCTGGACAAAGCATGGCTTTCTTAATATGAAAAAGACATTAATGTGGATATTGGAGAGCATTCCAAAGCAAAGCCACACAACTGAGAAGGATCCTTTGTAGCTCTTCCCTTAGTGAGCCACCTAGAAAAATACCTCCAAAGAAGACTGAAGAGCCCAGACAGATACATAAGAGAGCAGCTTCCTTGAAATACCCTTTCCTTTGGATTAACTGAACTTTTTGAACTATTTGTACCTGTAATTCTACATACAGGACAGTGCAATAATTCAATTGAAAGGGCAACAGAAATATCAAACTAAGACCACTTCCACATGAAGTCTTTGTGCCAGTTTGAAAGCAGCTGTGGGCTTCTGTGATCCCACAATGTCCAATGTATACAAAGGCCAAGTCAGAATTAAATTGCACTGAAACAACAATAAAAAGCATTGCAGCATCATGGAGCTTATGATCCATTTCCCCATTGCAGAACCTTCTGTCTCGCAATGCCTTCCAGCACTTGGGCTTCAGGTCTGTCAGGGGGAAAGGCAGCTTGACATCTTTTCAGCTTCCCACAAAAGGCATAGCTGGGTTTTGTTTCGTCTTTCTGCGTAAAATCAAATGCAAAAATAAAATAAGGATATGGTTGTGTGGTGGGAATTTGACTGGTAACTACTAGGTATTAGCACAGAAGTATTCATGCTGATTCAGAAAAGTAGAAAAGCATAGAGTTTTTCCTGCATTTCTGAGGATTACATCACTCATAACCCTCTCTCCCCACCATATGGCATCTAATTTCATCTGCTGGGATTGGGGTTACATTAACTGGATTAGGAAGCCCAGGATTTTAGCCACAGGATTTTAAAACCAGTGCAGCAATGCTTCTGTAGGAGCTGGAAGAGATATAAATAGAGAAATAGTAGTAAAATATAATTTAAGATTTTTTTTTCTATGACTAATACTTCATTGAAAGACAAAGTAAAGTTTCCATTTTAAAATGTCTACTATTTAATTTTTTATTAATTTATTAATGGAATAACAAGTTATGTGCTGCTCAATTTCAAAAAGACTCCGTGCAGTTTACAAAAATACAAAAATAAAATAAAAAGTATAATAAAGAAAACATAAATAAATCCATAAACCAATAAGAATAAATCTTCCTACCTTTTAACGCACCAAGGAAAAAACAATAATGACAACAGCAACAATCACCTGCTGCAGGGAAAATACTATCAATCCCCAAAGGTGTTCCAGAACCACGAGGGCTTGGTGGCTTTCCTGAAATCTAATTGGACTGGTGCTGACTTAACCTTGGGTGAAACACAAGGAAAAGAGGCAACAGAAAATACAACAAAACAAAAATAAATAAACAAATAAATAGTTTATTTTTAAAATTATTCCATTAATAAATTATTATTCCATTAATAAATTATTATTCCATTAATAAATTATAAACAAATAAATAATTTATTTTTAAAAGGATTCTGATGATGGTAATCAGTCAAGAAGGGGTCTCAAAAGGAATACTTCTGACTAGATCAGTGTTTCTCAACCTTGGCCGGTTTAAGCGGTGTGGACTTCAACTCCCAGAATTCCCCAGCCAGCATGGCTGGCTGGGGAATTCTGGGAGTTGAAGTCCACACAGCTTAAACCGGCCAAGGTTGAGAAACACTGGACTAGATCTTATTGGATGAGTAGAAATTGCATATACCCAGGTCCTGAACCATTGAAGGACCACTTCTTTAATATACCAGTATTTGTTTAAATATCCAGGGACTCTGCATGCATATATTGGCTGGGTTCAGACATTATACTAAACTAGATTTGCTTTAGTTATTGTTTGTTAAACAAATGGTTATTACTATGTTCTGTGAACCCAGCCAAGAACCCACCCATTAACCATGATTTATAAAGTCTGAGTTCACAGAATATGCTTACAAACAACCATATAATTTAGTGTGTTATATAGCCTATTACATAGCCAATCAGTGAAAATATTAAAATACAGTAAATGAAAAAGCAGACTTATCCTGGATCTTTCTGCTATTCTGTACCATTCATTGGATATATAAAGATATGGGGTTCCCTTCCCACCAAATACAGTCTCCTCCAAGTGTTTTAAAATGCACTTACGGCCTAATATTATAGCTTGTTTTCTTTACCATGGTAATTTCAATGTTTATTATTAAATGAAAAACCCAAAATAGAACAAATCTTGTACACACAGTCATCCCTGTTTTCTCACATTTGGAGTTAACCTAAAAGGGGCTGACAAACATAACTGCATCTAAATTG